GATCTCAATAATTCTTTTTTTTTTTTATCATAAGTGTCCAAAGAAAATCGAAACTTCAAGGATGAGAGCAACAAAGCTTTAGCAAATTTCATTTATATTTTTGAATCATGAGCTTACATTGATATAAGATTTTCAAACAAATAATTTTTATATTTATATTTAATAGAATTCACACAACTTTTTGAGTTTCTGAAAATTTACACTCCATTTCCTAGATCCACCCCTACAAACATATATCCATTAAATGCGGATTTCAACAGTATTAGAATGTGAATATAGTATAATTTCTTCTTTTTTGGCTAACAATTTTCAGCATTTTCTTGATATAATATATGGTTCTATACTTCTATTAATTATATAATAAAGCCTGAATCAGATTCTTTCTAAAAGCCATATGTCTCAACAATAAAAAGAAAGGAACAATCAAGATGTCATTGTTCTGCTTGAAGTCATCGTGTGATTTATTAATTAATCAAAATTTTATATTCAAAGTCTAACTATTAAAGTAATTCATTATTAACAGATTCACACATCCAGACACGGATTCTTCTTTGATATAGTTTCATTTCTTAATTGAAAAAATAATAATATGAAAGTTCTTGGAATTTCCATGAAAGTAAATAAATAAACAAGACATATTTGTTTATTTTTGGCCTAATTAATATTCCCCTGTTTACTTTATTTGTAGATTTTTATTTTTAGTTATCACTTTTAAGTTTTAACATATCAAGAAAAGACAATTATTTTTTTCATGATAAAATTTAAGTATAAATATGACAAATAAAAATAAACGGGGAGAATACTTCCTAGAATTAAGAAGGGATTAACTTCATACGTAGGATAAATAGAGTACATACTTTAATTATGTGTAGGATAAGTAAAGCCATTAACTATTGCTATGTCTAATGGTAGCACTCTTTAATTTGTTACATTTATTGAATTCTAATTCAAATTAATGTTTATGTTTCGTGCCTTAATGTCTCCTAAATATGCCTTTAGACAAATTTCTTACACATCAACGTGCAATACTTAACAAAAATGATAAATCTTCGAAATAAAATCTAATGATTAAAATAAGTGAAATTTGACTCATCTACATATATATATATATTAAAGAAGTGAGAGACATGTTGTTTTTCTCATTATTTGTTGTTTAATTAATTAATATATATGAGCTTAGGTGTAATATCATTTTTTATAATTTTCGATGCTGTTTCATTATATTCCTAATAAGGAAACAATTGTTTTAGTCCATGTGTTATTAGTATATATGATTTTTCTACAATTTACAAAATCATTTGAAGTCGAACAATATTCAAATATCAGTGGATGGAAATAATATAAATTTAAATTGAATCATAAGACATTTGCAATTAGCAGATTCAATCTTCGCAAAAACGTAATGTCACAAATAGGACAACGCATTTTTGTTAATCTAATAACACCATGAATATTGATAAGTGTAACATATATTAATCACCTTAATTTTGTAATTTAATCACAACTTTGACATTTGTACTTGTTTTTAAACTTTCACGAGAAAGAAAAATTCTAAGCTTTGATCACTTAAAAATATTATATTAGAAATTTTAAAAGATTAAGTCGTGGCATGAGAAACTAATCAAAGTGTAATCTCACAATCGACCTCTATTAATATATCGATATTGTCTAATGATATTAAACTTTGTTATGTAATTTATTGTTGTTGTATCTTAGGTTGTACCTCAACAATTTCCTCAAGCATTAAACATGCTTAGGCCTTTTTTCATATAATTATTAACATACCAACTCAAACTAAATTTTGAGAGAAAATAAAATAATCACCAAATTCATATGAAAAATCGATCCATTCTGGCGATAAAAAGCGAGGAGAGATTGTTTAAGAATAAAAAAGAGGGTAAAAATTAATGGTGTTAACTTCAAGTTAGATATAAAAAATAAAATTACACATTTCATTTAATTAAAAATTAAATATGCTCAATCTAATAATATAAGGATCATAATCATAATTACAAGCTAATAACACTGCTAAAACCGAACCATTGATCCCCCGGCCCTTTCTTAAATGAGAAGAAAATACTTCATTATATATGATTTCTCTTTTCACCTGTCACTTTTGACAAATTAAGGAAAGACCAAAAAAAAATCTTATTATATCTTTAATTTATTAATATTGAGTTAATGTCTTTGAAAAATATTGTGAATAAATATGTTTGAGATCCTATCAATTAACAAGGATAACATAGTAAACTCACTATATCAATCACTATTTTTTAATAAGTGTGTCAAGTCAAAATTTGATAAATAAATAGGAACGGAGGGGGTACACCTTAAAGATGTATTTACGTGTAATAAACAAAACTGCTTGGAGAAAATAAATATATTTCTGATGTTGTACATTACGTCTTTGATCAGCACATGCAAGCATGTGATATATATAAGAGCAAAAATATGACTTTGCTATATATTAATTTCTTATTTCAAATGTTTTATTGCCCTTAAATTGTAAGATAAAAGAATGATGTCTTTTTAACTTTTTTTTTATTATCTCAAGCCATAGTCGAAACGTGAAGCCAAGTACAAGAAGCCATAGGCCGGCAAAAGATTATGTAATCCCATTAAGATCGCCATTAATATCATACGCTCTAATAAAATAAATTTCACAAAATATGAGCTATATTTAATTTATAATTGACATTTTAGTTATTTCGATCCAATTTAAAAGGAAGGCAACTACTAGAACATGTATGTATATATATAGGATCAGTATTTTATATATAGATACTCTTTTCAATATCTTCATTTTTTTAGCTTTTAATATACAGCAAGGTACAGGTAGTCTGCCTAGGATTGCAATTGAAAAAATAATAACTAAATTAAATTATTAAATTTTGAGAGTAGAATAGCTGGGATATCTTTAAAAATAAAAAAAAATTGACACACACGTTTCTTTGTTGTGTTTTGAGGTATATATGTTTAAAGAAAAATGGTATATGCTACTCGGACGCTTAATTATCATAATTAATCCCTAATATCACGGGATTGGACATTAAGGGAGGTGTGAAAGTGGTATAACAGGATTTGGCTCATCTCCGTTACACTTTTTCTTTCTCAAGTGCATATTTAGATGAGTGATATTTGTCATACTCTATTTAATATTTAAAGGTTTTAGATTACATTTAATTTAACAAGCTTTTTAATCATAGTTAAAAAATAAATTAAGAAAAAACTCACTAATTTTGGTAAGAAAATTCTCATCTTTCATTAATTTAGCTGCTCGTTAATATAATTATTTTCATGACATATATTTTACATATCCAATATTAATATCGTTTCCCTAATCTAAAGTTAAGAATACTCCCCGTTTTTAAAAAAAATATTATTTGACAAAATAAAATTATAGATGAAAGTGTAATGAGATCAAAGATGACTTAAAAAAAAAGCAGAAAAATAATTAAGAAAAAAGAAAAGACCAACTTTATTTTTAAACAGAAAATATTCTAAAACGTATAACAAATATAATTATACAATATATTTTTTCCTCTCCATTTTTTTTCATTTCCGAGATAAACTTATTCGACAAATACTTTTCTTTTTACTCAACAAAAAATAGATTATTATTTTTTTCCCTGTCAAGGAAGTTTACAAGATTTTCACAAAAAAATAAATGAAAAATATAATGTTATATTTTAAAGTAATTTAGAAAGTATGATCTGAAATTTATCTTTTTTTTAATACTATATTGTAGAGATTATTTCGAGTTATTAATGTGTATTTTGTATCTTTTATTTACAATTAAGGATAATATTTATGATATTATCTGATTAATTTTTCAAATAAAATTAAAATCAAATCAATTATATTAAAAAGAAATCAGAAAGTATAATTAAAGTAATGATATTAATGAGGAGCCCAAATGAGTGAAAGATGATTTTTCTTACCAAAGTCGGTGAATTTGTTTCTAACTTGTTCTTCAATTATGATTAAGAGTATGTTATTAAATTTAATCTAGACTTCTAAATTTTAAATATAACAAGTGACACTCATATAATATGCAATTTAAGAAATAAAGAAAAGGTGTAACGGAAATAAGTCAAATCCGATATAACGTACTACTGCAATTATAAAGTCAAAAAATGGCCTGAAATTTAATGGAAAAGGGTTGGAAGGAGATATAAATAATTTTTTAAATGCCAAAAATACCTAAAGACTCCTCTAAAACTTGACATGTTTTCTCCCGATCCCTTAAACTATCAGTAGTCTTAATTATCCATGAACATGGCTTTAGTCATCCCTACATACCTAAAAGAGGGTGTAGTCATTCTCTTTGTTACTTCAACGTATAGAGGGTAAAGGGTAACAAAAAACCTAGTTCAGAAGGATAATTAAGACTATTGATAGTTTATAGAAAATCTGAAGAAAACACGTCAAGTTTAGAATGATATTTAGATATTCTGCCTATTACGTTGTGTATTGGATGAGTAATGTTTCACAGTTGACACTAGTTTTGGAAGTCTTAGCCAGTTGTTCTTAATTTCCAAACTCAAATTGCACCTAAAAGTTAGGAGTACTAACATATATATTGAGTATAAATCAATACTAATATAGTAATATATATGACGACTTTGCTAGTATATGATATATCGAGTAGTGCTAATTAACAACATTTTAATCGTTAAGTATTAATTTGTTTGCAATATGGATTGGGATACAGAGTCTTACCCTGAGTACAAAGATTTTATTTTTATTCCCTTCTTTGCTCTCTTCTTCCCCATCCTTCGATTCATATATACTCGACATATTAGTTTTCGAGGTAAATATATAGACAAAATGATTTGCAAGACCCTTTGTATGTGGAGTACTTATTAATTTCAGTGTATCATCTTAGTCCTTGAACTCTATGGAGTTTTATGCAGACACCTGAACTTGTTCAAAACTAATATTTTGGACACATTTAGTATGATTTTTGTTAATTTAATTTAATTAACCGCGCTCTGTTGATGAATTGCAAGGCATGGAAATTTATGTATTTTCTATCTGCAGAGATATTTGCACTTTATGTTACTTATAACGAGCCTTGGTTCACAAATACTCGATATTATTGGACAGGCCCTGGAGATGAGGTGTGGCCTGATCTCAAAATCAAGTAAGGATTTGGTGTACATACTTTTTTTTTTCTTCATAATTTTAGCTGAGTCAAGGGTCTATCGGAAGCACAGATTAAAGCTGAAAGGATGGAATATGTATGCTGGAGGATTTTACTTATACTCTATATTTACGCTGATCTACTGGGAAACAAGGCGCTCTGATTTTGCTGCCCACATGATTCATCACATAACATCACTATCACTAATTCTTTTGTCTTACATTTTCGGGTACGTAATTTAGACGTGTATTAAGATTTAATGATTTGTACCTTAATACACATACATTTTAACATTTAAATTCAAACGTTTTAATCATAATAAAAATAAGGTCTTAATTCTTCTCCAACTACGCACATGCTATATAAGAGTATTATATATATTGAATTAGAAGAAAGACCTTTCTAGTTTAATTTGTTTGTCTTACTATTCTTTTTAGTCTGTTTAAAATAAATGAAAGTGCAGGATGGCACGTGCGGGATCAATGGTTGCATTAATTCATGATGGAACTAATGGAAATTGCAAAGATGTCACATCAGTGGATTTCATAGCGTTGCTGATATTTCCTTCGCTCTTTTCGCATTGTCTTCGCTATTACTTCGTCTAATCTACTTTCCATTTTCCATTATCTACAGCTCATGGTTCGAATTGTTTCACATAAAATAAAATAAATGTTCTATTTATATTATTTCATATTTCGTATTCGTCCTTTTATCTCAATTTATAATGTAATGTAATTAATCTTTAAAGATGAATTGATTCATTATTGCTTTTGCAGCTACGAAGTTCTTTTCATAGTGGATAAGGAGAAACAACAAAATATTAATGGAATCATACTTTACTTTGTGATAAATTCAATGCTGATATGCATACTGCTTCTTCACATATATTGGTGGACACTATCCTGAAAAAAGGCCACGTTCGATTTGGTAATTAAAAATTGTCTCTGGTTTAATAATAGTTTAATTGATTGACTATCAAAATTCTTATCCCGTTGATGAGGGTTCCATTATCCCCTCCTCATTTTCCTTCCCGCCTACCCCCAATATTAAGGAAAAATAAAAAATAAAAATATTCATCCATTGCAATTTATATGATGCATTTTATGTACAGTAGCTTTTATTTCAACAAATTTATTTACTATACGAAATCTTAAAGGAAATTATAAAAATTTGTGTATAAATGATCTCATTAGGTTAAATTAGAAGTTTAAAATGAAATATAATAAAGTACAGTATTTCTTTAGGAACAAATTAAATAGGAAAGTGAGTTACCTAAGTTGCACGGAGAAAAAAATATTGTTTATATTATATACTTCCAGCTTGTGATCTTAGACTGCATGTATATATCTCAATGATTTGCAGATTCAGAATCTGAATCCGATGAGGATGAGCACAAACAGAGTTGATGAGGATCAAAAGCTTGGTTTATTAAAATACTCATAGTTGTTTGTATTGTATTTCGTATAGATTCATAATGTATATTTTTAGTTATGTAAATATTTGTTGTTGAAATAATGTTTGAATATATATGTTGTTACAACGAATTAATGTAATAACAAGGTTTGACGGTATATATCAAGTAGATTCATCCATGTATATAATCAAAATATTTATTTTTATTCTACTTGTATAGTGTAATTAATTATCAGGGAGAGCGTTCAATTATTGAAGCCCTTGCCTAAATCTTACTATGCCATATAAACACAGGGCATTGATGTATAAATAGGACAAGAGTGGGTTGCTAAGGTGGTAACCACCCTCCACCTCCAATCTTAAGGTCGTGGGTTCACTGGAGTTCCCACTAGTTCCTGACCTAGCCTAACACTTACTTGAACTCAATCTTTCAAGAAAATGTGGTATTAGATTAGTTGTGATCAAGGATGTCAAGAGAGAACATTGAAAGCTTGAGCAGTGTGAGCAACTTTGATAAACACATCCTCCAAAGTTGTATCAGCCAGACCCCAAGCATAAACTGTGAATCTACTCTTTGCTTTTTCAACAGCTTGAAATACATCTGCAATTCTAACCTCTTGCTTTGGCAACTCAAACTTCTGTGTCCCTGATAGATGGTATATCCTGTTGGCATTTGGGGATAGGCGTCGCACCATGTGCTCCACTTCCTCCTCGTTATCTGATGATGTTGTCATCGTAAACACATAAGACCCTCCGTATCTTGCCTTCAACTGTTGGAATTACATGGTCAGAACATTTTGACACGTAAAAAGAAGCAGTTGGAGAGGTAAGAAATGACTTGGCCCTGGCAATCATTTCCCTTCGTTCAATCAACATTTCCAAGGACCTTCTTGCTTTTAATATAGTATAGATAAGATAGATAAGAAGCATATCTGACTCTAGAATTGCGCCACAGTATCAATAATAGAAATGTGCAGGACTTCTTAAATGCTTGAGATTACCTCTTTGGGATTTCCTATGCACTGCAAGCTGCCATCTACGAATATTCCTAGTCGATCACATAGATGTTCTGCTTCTTCCATTGAATGAGCTGAAATTGTTATCCTTTATGAGTAGTCATATTAATGATCTCATTAACCAGTGGTAAGAAATGAACAAGGGAAGAATTCAGGTGTGCAAATGTATGTTGCGCTTGGGGCAAATATCTCATTTATCAGTACCCTTCATACAACTCGTTAGTACTGTCCTGAGTGCACATAGTTCATTCATCTTAAAGGGGAAACAAAGAAACAAGATAAAGAATGTTAAGTTACTAGTGAGAATAATCGCTCTATCTTGCTTTGCACGCTTGACAACATTCCACAAGTTACTGCGTGAAGATGGATCCAGTCCAGTGCTGGGCTCATCCATGTAGACAACCTAAAGAGTTTCATAAACCACTAGCATATTATCAATACACATCTCGGAATATCTTTCCGCGAAAATGGATGGTAAGGAGTAATATACCTTGGGATCTCCAATCAGTGAAATAGCAACACTTAGCCTCCTCTTCATTCCTCCACTGTATTTACCAGCTTTCTTGTCAGCAACGCCTCCATGAAACAAGTTGACACTCTTAAGAGATTCTTCAACTGCCTGTAGGCAGAAAAGTATAAATAACCAAATATAGATATTGCTTCAGATGAGGAGTCAAGTCTATCAAGATTTTAGTCTTTCAAGTTGCCTCGACGATTCATTGCCCGTAAAGAATCAACCAATTGCTTGTGCTATAGATTGAATAGTATCAGTAAAGATATCCTGGAGTTGAGGAATACAATCAATTTAATCAGTTGTATTAATTTGCTGTAACTTGACGCTAAATCAACATTTCTGCTGTAACACATTTTGGATTATAAGTTCAATTTTACAAGCACTCATTAGCCATTAACCTACTTGTGTCAAGTCTGCTCCTTTAAGATTTTTAAGCCTTCCATAGAAAAGTAGATGCTCCCTTCCTGTTAATATTTCCCAAAGCAAGCTGAAATAAACTCCCAAATGAAAAAGACAATTAGTATTAGGTCAATATTATTTGTAGGAAGGGGGAATCAAATGTCAACTAAAAGCAATTCTTACTCATGCTGCGGACATACACCCATGTTGGTGTATATCATATCCATATCTGTTCGTATATCCATACCTTGAGCATATGCAGTACCGGAGCTTGGTTTTATGAGGCCAATCATCTGTTAGTAGAAAATTATCAATCAAGGGTGTTGAGTTTCACTTTTAACAATCTAAATACATAAATAAAGAGTCAGTATGCACCTTATCTGACTACAAAATGCAAGGCAGTCAGAATGTGTTTTTAAAGTAGTGACTACTCTAAGATCACATCCTTGAGTGACTAAAACTTAAGATTTACAAAGATATATCTAGCACAAAACAGACAACAGGACTGACCATGTTAATAAAAGTAGTTTTGCCAGCACCATTGGGACCTAGCATACCAAAACATTCCCCTTGAGGCAAAGCAAGTGACAATCCTCTCACTGCAAATTTCTCAGGGTTTCCATCTTTCCCTGGATAAACCTTTTCCAAATTGTCACAAATGACGGCATGACCTGTACTTGATTCAAGCAACTGTTCAACTCTCTCCCGCTGTTGAAAGGAAGTTCCATATGGTTAGTATTGTAGACAGGGACAAACATATCCTGCAAAAATGTTTTTCATGAGAAATGCTAAAACATTTACCTCCTGAGCAATATCAGGCTTCTCCATCTGTACGAAAACTTTAGACCCCTGCCTTCTAAAACTATGTTTCCTAGAGGAAGGTGAAGGCCTCTTTCTAGAGTGCCACATGAAACATAGGGGATCTTTCCCTGATGAAGCAATCTGATCAACGTAATAACCAAGAAAGAGAAACACCAACCACTGCACCAACATAATAATTAGGACCTCCTTCATTCCATTTTTTCCATCACTCAAGTCTTTCCATCTCATACCATCCGTTCCCAAATAATTACCCTTGAAAGCATATTGGGAAAACTCATAAAATCCACGAAAAAGAGAAAAGCCAGGATATAGCTCCATAACTATAATCCAGCCTCCTACAATGTCATGACAGAGTTTACTAGAAGATTAGTACAAAAATGAAGCAATATCCAATTAAAATATTTTCAACAACTCAAACAAAATATCAGGAGAAATGAAGCCAAACAAAACACACCAGTATCTCAATTCTAACATTATTTTTTTGCACAGAAGGGAAGGAAAGGACAAGTTGATTCTCTTCACCTAATGAAAAATATAACGTCCATGCTCCTTGGTAAAGAAAGGGAAAATTAGAAGGTTAACAGTAATTTGTTTCCAATTTTCATTCAAAGCCTGAAGATTTTAAAAAACAACAACATGGAAATAGTAGGTTTGACAGTAGCAATAGGACGAGTGGTTCTCGTAATTTTATTGCCCTAAAGAAACACAACCGGACTCCTCTTCTCGGGAATTTTAATGGTTTGGGGGACGTCAATTCCCTCCATTTTTTGCCTTTCCTTTCCCTTCGTCCAGCCACTCTTTTAGTTCCCAAAATATATATAATCTAGAATCCGTTCAATCTCTAAGGCAGATTTCCGCTGAGAAGGGAATAGTGTTTGTGTCCAAAAGTGAGCAAAGCCCTATAGCTTCCCTTAAACAAAATTTACTATTTCCTGATAGCTCTAGAAAGCAGATAAAAGAGACAACCATGCAATTAATTTCCACTTTAGAAATTGAATGATGCAATCCCCTCAAAAGGCCCAAATGTACTGCTTCAATAAAACAGGACTGTCACCAATTTGGAGGGTGACTAGGTGGTGCAACAATGAAAATCATGAGTTAGCGAGACAACCTTAATATTACGGAACTTACTGGAAAATGTTTCATCCTGGAGAAAGAACTGGAAAAGGAATGATGACAAGAGTCCATTTGCAAACACCATTATATAGCCGATGACTGTTACAATGTCAAGTAAGCAGAATCCGTCATATCATATTAGTTGCTGAAAGTTAATAAGAAAAATTGGTTCATCATCATTCTCATAAACATTCTCTTTCATATGCGCAATCGTTGCAATATTAACAACAACTTCTATTACAGATACCAAACCTGTGGCTGCCTGGACATTAGAGAAAAACGCAGCAACTAAAAAAGCAAGGGACTCTTGCAAGTTTATGTAGATGAAGTAAAACACGAACTGGATGGCGTAATCATTAAGCAAAAAGAACTTCAAGCCTGCAAAAGAGAAAAAGGGGAAATGAAGGAAATTTGTACCAGACAACTCCAGTTAACTGAAAGGGGTCAACTGAGTAGCTGTAGCATTACCTACTAATGAGCCGAAAATCACAAAACATAACATGTATATAGAAGCTACGAACAGAAAATAAGCATAAGATATCAGCCAATAGGGACCATCCCCAAGTCCATGCATTTTCATCATGATTCTCAGTTTTTGCTGCTTCTCATAAACAAGAGCTATCAAA